GTGAGACCGTAACCTGCGTATCACCAATCACAGAACCATTTCGACGGAATTATTCAAACGGTTCTATCAGAATGACCCTGTGAGTGGTGATACGCAGTTTACGCTTACGCAAGTTACGCTCCATGTGAAGGCACCCTAACACGTTTCATTCTTCTATCGCACTTACACACACGTTCGTTATTTATCGTGAGACTTTTGCGCCACGCTGTGCTCGCATCTCTGAGGGTGACGTCCCATCACGTCCCATGGAGCGGAATACGCGGAAGCAGAATCAGCGGATCGCCCGACGGTAGTGGCAAGATGAAAAAATGTCCATGAAAGTCACGTAAGATTGCCCAAGATAGATTTACCCGTCTTTTCCGGGGCTTATGAAGAATGGCGTTCTTTTTTCAACACATTTAATTCTCTAATACACTCTAATAGGTCGTTAAATGATATTCAAAAATTTCATTATTTGAAATCTTCCTTAAAAGGTGAGGCAGCTGAAACTATAGCTTCATTAGAGATCTCGGAAGTTCATTATAAGGATGCTTGGCTCAGGCTAAAAGAAAGGTACGACAACGAGCGTCTCGCTGTTCAAAATCATATCAGAGCCATATTTGAATTACCTGTGTTGAAAAAGGAAAATAGCGTAATGTTAAGAAGCATATTAGATGGCACATTGAAACACACTAGAGCATTAACTGCGTTAAAATGTCCCACCGAGTCTTGGGACGATTTGCTGGTATACATAATTACTAGTAAATTGGATTATATAACCATAAAGGAATGGGAAACTAGTTTGGAGGTTCAAGTATTGCCTAAATTCGCAGAACTAACTGACTTTCTTTCGCGAAGGTGCCAGATGTTGGAAGCCGTAGCCAGGAGAAGCTTATCCATGACACCGAATGTTAATTCGCGTCAGACGAACCCGGGAAAGGTGTCAATGTCTCATGCCGCTGTGACGAATGTTAAGTGTTTGCATTGCAAGGGCGATCATCAGGTTTACCAGTGCAATAGCTTTAAGGAGCTTTCCATAGCGGAGCGTTTGAGCAGGGTAAGGGACTTAAAGTTATGTTTGAATTGTTTTAAGGGAAAACATTTTGCAAAGGATTGTTCGGCTAGCGGTTGCAAAAAATGTACTAGAAAGCATAACACTTTGTTGCACGAAGATCGCGATTCATCAAAGGAGGTTAAAGAGGACTCGGCAAAACAAAATGTAGTTCAAGAGAGCACTTCGAGCAAAGCGGTTAACACCATATGTACGCATTTACAATCAAAAGAGATTGCTGACTCCTATCAGGTGCTGTTGTCCACGGCTGTAATTAGAGTAAAGAACCACCAAAATCAATATATAGAAGGCAGGGTACTATTAGACAATGGATCCCAATCTAATTTCGTAACCGAAGATTTTGTTAAAAGGCTAAATTTGAAAACGATTGACAATAAAGTTGAGATAAAAGGAATAAATCAACATATTTCTCATGCCGTGAAATCTTTAAATTTGGAGATAACTTCTCGTTTTGGTACGCACGGTTTAGATTTACCATGCATAGTGCTTCCTAAGATTACTCAAAACTTACCGACCGTTGTAGTAGACGCAACCCCTTTAAAAATACCAAAGAATATTCGATTGGCCGACCCGCAGTTTGATAAACCGGGCAAGATCGAGTTGCTTATAGGCGCGGAGAGGTTTTGGGAGTTAATCTGCGTGGGGCAAATAAGGTTGGGAAAGCGAATGCCGATATTGCAAAAATCGCTATTAGGTTGGCTTGTATCGGGGCCGACAAAGGGAGAAAAGGCGAAGAAAATAGCACAGACTAGTTGTAATTTAAGTATAATGGAGGAGTTAAATGAAACAATGCGTAAATTTTGGGAAGTAGAGGGATATCAGGAAATGAAAAGGTTAGAACCCGAAGAAGAATATTGTGAAGAGCACTTCAAAGCAACCCATGCACGTCATACAAATGGTAGATTTATAGTAAAATTACCGGTCAAAGAAGAAATATTAAGGTCTTTGGATGGCTCTAGAGAGGTAGCGTTAAAAAGATTTATAGCTTTAGAGCGAAAGTTTATTAACAAACCGGAACTAAAGAAAGAATATGTAAAATTTATACAGGATTATTTACAGCTGGGACATATGCGAAAGGTAGTTTGTCCCGATAAAGATAAACTGAGAGTCTTTTTACCACATCACGCAGTAATAAAGGAGAGTAGTGCTACCACCAAAACAAGGGTAGTGTTCGATGCATCCAGTCAGTATTCAAAGGGTAAAGCTCCCAAGAAGGAGTATAAAAGGACGAGCGCAACGCGAGGGAGCTCAGTATCAGAGTTTCCCAGCCCTGATGATGCAGACTGCAACGCCTGCGAAACGTCGGCACCACACTGCAAACGGACGCGGCAACCATCCGGAAGCCATGAAGACTTTGCTAATGTTTTTAACTGATATAGCCGTTCTCTGCCCAACAAAGGATCTCTATCATATTTCACAACATACATGTTTAACATTTTAGTTTTATCAACATCCTTAACTTTGACTTTAACGAAACCGAGGGGCACAAAATTTTTTTTACAATATGATCGCAATTTTAACTTCGTTTTAAATACAAATAATTTCGGAAATGTCTTTCCTAGCCATTTTTCGCTTACCAGCGTGACCGCTGAGCCCGAGTCTACGTCGAATATGACGTCTTGATTTTCAATTCGCAGGGGTACCGTAAACTTTGCTCTGTGCTCGAGGTGCTCCTCTTGATCAGTCACATTGCAGACTTCCTCTAACATATGCGCTTGGTCCTTTTTCTTGCAAACTTTTTGCAGATGACCAAAACCTCCACATTCTCTACATTTAATACTCCGAGGAAGGGTACAGCCACTTGCGAAATGAGCCTGACCACATCTGTAACATACAATGTTATTAGCCTTGACATTCGCGCGCTTATTGCTATTATAACTATTATGTTTAGAAAACTTGTGATGATTTGCGGGATGTGACTCCTTTCTCGCTCCCTGTTGATTGCCTTTGTTTCCTGATCTATCCTCTCGGCCTTTTGACTTCTTATATTTTGATCCCGATCCGACCAAGTCTACCGTTACTTCCGTTGAATTTTCTTCCTTCAATTTACTGACTCCTTTTTCTGCCAGTTCCATACCGCATGCAATTTTCAAAGCTACTTCTCTGGTCAGTTTGGCCGTCTCCAAAAGTCTGGATTGAATCCTCAGGTTTTTTCAACCAAAAACGAACTGATTCCGTAATTCTGTTTGCAGATATTCTCCGAATTTACAGTTTAACGATAATTTTTGCAAAGCCGCCATATATTCCTGCGCACTTTCTTCCGAGCGTTGCATTCTCTTCCGAAAAATGTATATTTCCACGATCTCTAAAGGCTCCGGCTCGTAGAATTCTTATAATTTTTCGATTAACACACCGAACGTTTGCGCATACGGATCCTGGTCACCCAGACGGTCGCAAAGGATTCCAAATGCCTCTGCTCCCATAAAATGTAATAGGTATGCTACTCGATCCACCTCCTCTCGAATTTGGAACACTCGAAACGTACCCTCAAGCCGCTGCAACCATCTCCCCAACGGTTGCTGTTGTGGATTGAACACGTCGATTTGCAAAGGACTCGTAACTGCCACTCTTTGGCATGGGATTGTTCCTTGCTCCGAATTTTGCGGCATATTGGAAGGTTCTTACTAATTCTTGCTGCTTGCCACGTGTTGGACGAAGTCGTTAGGGAAAGACACACAAAAAAAATTAGATCCGATCCTCGTCGCCAGCTGATGTATCTTTCCTTTTAGGCGGGGTGGAATAACTAAAACTGTAATTCTTTAAAACGAAACTATCTGTATTTTGCGCGTGCGGCGGTTGACGGTTCAAACAGGAGAGCGCGTCGCAAAGTATATGCTCCGCTTTTCTATCCCGGCAGCGTGGACCCCGGAGAGGGGAGTGCCATACTTTTGGCCTATCGCTGCTCGTGATACGCCGTGATCTCGCTTCCCACCTGGTCCGCGGCTTCTCATACGTATCAACCGGAAACACATATTGTTTCGATACCGCAACAGTTACCCCTAAAAGGCAAACATTTGAGGAAACCCGAACCCGATTTGGACTGTAGCGCCACTGGATGTACATATGGATGGATGGAAAATGGATTAATGAATATATAGTGTTTCATTTTGTGACAGTCTATAAAATATTATCCTTTTCCTTTAACCTCGACATCGACTCGATCGGACTCGTCGGGAGTTCCGGCGGAAAATCGAAATAACTATCAAGTCAATAATTGTAACACATATGTAAACGTCGAAATTATTGCTTACAATTAGTCTAGCAAAGTAGAAGCCACGCAGTCTAATTAAATAGTAAGATTTGAGAATATTGAATTCAGTAATTAGTTAATGATTAGATTGAATAATCCGACACAACCCACATAGCACAAATGACTGTTTGCCGGCTGATAGTCGACATTTTTTAGTCACCTTGAAGTCAACTTTTGAAGTCGACATTTAGTCTACTATTTATAGGATGGTTTATTGTCGACTTTAACTATAGGCTGAAAGTCGACCTAAAGTCGACATTTTCAGGAAGTTTAAAGTTGCCTTTCGGTAAAGTGAAAAATTAACTAAAAAGTATTTTTTCGTCTTACCGAAAGACATAAAAATTTTTCGTCATCTTTTTTCTTATTTTTTTCAGCAAAGTACAAAAATGTGTAAAAAATCTCTTTTTGGTCAATCTTTCTGGTCAATATGTCGAACCGATATAGTGTCTATGAAGTTGGCATGACATTTTACGAATTTCGAA